TATTTGTAATTATTTTTAATTTGGGCCCTTATCCGTAATTATTTTCACTTTTCAGGCCCTTATTTGTAAATTCCCCATTAATTTAATACTGTAATAATAACAAAGATAGCAAGATGAAATTTGATACGTAGGATACGTAGAGATAGTAGCGATAGGCAGTAAGTGTATATATATTTGATATATTTGATTAAATATTCACACAGCTATTCACATAGTCATAGTTATTCACAAACATAGTTATTTTCATAGTTATTCACATACATAATTATACATAATTATTCTCACTCATACCAACACACACACACACATATATATATATATTATTAAACTTTATCGATATTTATTATCGATACGTATTTATTTATTTATTTGTTTGTTTATTAACAGTTAAGACTGCACGTTTATACGTACGTACGTACGTAAAATCTTCGTCACGATGAATCAGGTTTTAAAATAATATATTGTTATATCCAACAAGGAAGCTCGATTTTTTGTACGTATGCTTGTTGCATATACCATTGATTATTGCCGGTGGATGTTCCAAACAATATAACAAATGTGTTATCCCGCTTGCGTTATCACTTTCAACATCCATTTATCTGCATAAATCGGATGATAAATGCTACTTTGCTAACCAAATAAAGATTAGAATGTTTTTTTCTTACTCAGTTCCTTAAAAGCTACTAATCTTTATTGGTCTTGTGTAATGCCAAGATGATCAAAAGTGAATATTCAAAAAAAAAAAAAATCAAATAAAAAAATAAAAGAATCACAATATAATATATCGGTTTCAAGATAAAATTTGGTTCATAATACGCCATTGCTCTCGATTATTCGTTTGATCACTTATTTTTTTGTATTGTAATAAACTTTAATGGTAAATTATTTATAAAAAAATCTTGTTAACCAACCTGTTTACCACCGTTACTATGTATCGGATTAGTGGCTTTTCAATTTATTAATATTAATACACACGTGATATACATTTTTGGTACATACTTACATCTGTCAGTTTCATAAGAATTGGTTATCTTTTCTCCGTATTCTTTGAAAATGTATCACATTCTTGATATTGAAAAAAATGTACGTAACACATCGTTTGTACTACGACACACGTACTTAATAATACACAAATTTCTGAATCCCCAATATTATTTGTCATCCATTATTTGCCCATCAAATATTAATATACTTAACGTTGACCAGGCAGAGCAATTCGAAAAAAAAGCCGTTCGTTTTGCTTCCTGAAAAAAAATTAATATATATATATATATATTATATACATATATATCAATATAAATATATATATATATATATATATATATATATATTGATTTATTTATTTATTTATTAAAATTTTTATTTTTTTTTTTTTAATATGGCTTCAAAAATCGATATCGATTGTCTCGTCATAATCTTGGAATTTCTTCAAGATTCTCCCATATCCCTCTTTTCATGCGCTTTGGTCAATCGAACTTGGTGTAAAAATGCTTTACCCATCTTATGGAGAAATCCATGGCATGATTCTATAATCGATGCTATAGATCCTATAAGACGACGTCGTTTATTAATTTCAAAATACATTGCTACTTTACCTCCTCCTTCAAAATCTATTCTTATTCAAAATAAAATTGCTTTACCTTCTCCTATGTTTAACCCTATCTTTGATTATTCTACTTTTATTCGTTATTTAAATTTAGATGCTTTAAAGTTGGCAATTAAATCTTGGATTTATGATTCAAGTTCTCCTAAAGAATTTCATGGTGTCGTTTGTCCTCAAATCACTATTGTCGCTAAAGAATTAATTAAATATTTTCTTTTAAAATCCCCTTCGGTTCTTAGTATAGAAGCAAAATATGGTAACGATCTCCTTGAAATCCTTCTCGAAATTTTGAATTCTATCCCTGAAACAAAATCTAAACTCGTCGATTTAAGAGAATTGATCTGTCATGGTGCTTTAAAGGTCATCCCTACTTTCTTCTCCCAAATCTCTCGTATTAGTAGAGTTATTCAACGTTTAATAATTGATCCTTATCAAGATACTGAACATTTGGCTACTTTAATCAATGTTCAAAAAAATTTAAAAGAAATCACTATCGGTCATTCTTATACAAGTCCCATTTCTACCTCAAGTCGTGAAGCCGTTCTATCCGCTTTAAGTCATTCAAGATCAATCACTCTATTAAAAATAAAATATATGTATTTCCCTTTAGCTCATCTCGCTAATTTGTGTAATTTGGAAGAATTAAGTTTACAAGGTTTCGGTAAACGCGAAGTTATGAATGAAATTTGGGAACCTTTATTATCTATATCTATGTTAAAACTTAAAAAATTATTCATTTCAAGTTTATTTACCAACGCTAATTTGGAAATTTTTTCCAAATTTATTCAAAATTCCCCTAAATTACAAGAATTAACTATTCGTAGTAGTAGAATTTCCGATCCTGAAAATTCTAAATTACTTCTTACTTCTATTTCTCAAGCTTGTCGAAATCTTGTTAAATTTGAGGGCCCAATAATGGATCAAAATGTTAAAGAACTTTCTCAATTATTATATTCTTGTCCAAATCTTTCCTTCCTTTATCTTCATCCTTCTACTGAATATTATTTCATGCAAGATCAAATGGACTTTGATGATCTTTTAAAAGAAATTACTCGTATTCAACCCGCTAGATTAGATTTATTAAAAATTGCGAGAGGTTGGAAATTTTCTGGTGAATTAATTGGTAGATTTTTAGAAAGTAGAAAACAATTAG